CCCCAAAACCCCAAAACCCCAAAACCCCAAAACCCCAAAACCCCAATTAAAAGAAAAGAGGTTGATAATAAATCAATATTTGAGAATCAAATGGACGCTACTTTCTCCAATTTCAAGTTGCAAAACTTCAAGGGGGTCAATTGCTTAGACAAAGAGAGGTTCATGAAGAAATTTAACCTTCTGCATGACAAAAAAGATCAGGACAGGGGTCTACCCAACATAAAGATAGCCACCAAATACCTTTCTAAATTTGTTGACAAAGAACTTGGTGGAAGAACTCTTCGTGAAAAACTCTCTCTTGACCAAAATGATGGTCAGAAAACCAACGAATTAGCCCAGAAAGATTTCTGACAATTCATTCGGCGTGGGAGAAAACACCCGAAGGTCTTACTTCCCATGAAAAATAAAAGGCAGATCAAGGCTTTTAGTGTAGAATCTAATATAAGAAGGAATGGACCCGAGACAAAATCTTTATCACACAGAAATTCCTCCCTGTACGAGATTTCAACTAGCTGAACTCAAAGCGGAATACAGGATCCACCTCATGTGGGAGCTAATTCACTAGAGGCTCGTGAACCATTGCCTTCAAACTTAAAATAACATTCAGCCAACCTTATCTGCTATTAATGTCTATACTTCTCTGAGAAATAATGTATCGAGAGGAGATTTATTAAGACAAGGATATTTTGCAAGTGATGTCATGATTCGCCAAAAACAGTTCTCATCAGCTCGAAAGCCTCTACAGAGTGTTCAGATAGATTCTCAGCCAATTCTCACCAAGAGAAGGCTGGATGATATTCAGATCCAAAATATTCCAAAGAAAATTTATTTGAAGGTAAGTACTAAAACATAGTTATTTAGTTAAGATCTAAACACTGCAAATATTAGACTTCTTCCTACTAAAACTTGGCTCAACAACAGCGAATTAAATTTGCCCCAAAGAGTCTGTCCAAAGGCTATTTTAAGCTATAAACTAACCCACCATTATATTTTTCCACCAAGACATTAATTCTAAAAATACAGAATAAGTAATATTCCTCCTCGAAAGATTTATATAAAATACTTTCTTATTCGAAATCCCCTTTCTAAATTCCATACAGAACATGACCCCTGACCTCATGAACAAAATACCTTCCAAATTATTACAAGTAATAGAGAACAGAGAAGTCTGCACCAACTCACCATGCTTCATAGCGAAGTTAGAACATTCTATTGCTAGAAAGCAGTGCTAAGAGCACTGTGGTGAAGACTCTGTGACAGATAATATAAGCCTACAATATTCTTAATTTCATCTCTAAGGAAACTTTTCAAGACCCAATTCTATCTTTCGCCTCTAAATTCGTGAAAAATCTAAGAACCCTCATTTTACAGCATAAATTTTGAAACGATTTCATTTGTACTTAACTTGAATCCAAAATTATGAACTCAATCTCCACATCACCAGTGACAATATGTGGAATCATAATCCTCCTTAAACACTTTCAACCGATAATTTGCTCAAAGGGGTTTTGGGGTTTTGGGGTTTTGGGGTTTTGGGG